TATTCGTATGAAATTTTCGTGTCAAATTATAAGATTAGTTTTGTGTATTTTGAGCACGGTGAAGATTTTTTGCATTAATTTTTTAGGTTTGAGTGTGTTTTTTTTATTCAGGGATGAGTAATTTGGTTGATGAGCGTTTTCATAAAGTTTTTCAAAACAATTGAACTTTTTTGGGGTCATGATAAATTTTTTAAAAACTTTGAGGATAGAGAATGAAATTTGGGGTATTTGACTCTGGTTTCAATTTTTCTCAAGTAGGTTATTACTCAATTAACAAGGATCGAAAATTCTGTAATGCGTTTTCTACTTTTCTGACGTTTTTTTATAGTTTTCAAATGTTTTGGTTGTTTCAATAATAAAGGTCGCCTCCTTTTCCTTTTCCCTAACCTGCAAATTTCTACAAGCCAAATTAAAGTTCACATTATTCTATTGCTATGGAAAAATGCATACAGATGCAAACCACGCCATGGCAAACTTATTTAGTGATCATAGCAAACCTTGTAAAATCACTCGTTACACCATAAAATTGAGGCACATGCAAGGTGGAGTGAAATAGAAAAAGAGCCTTATTGTCAAGTTTTTTTGTCCTAAGAGGGAAATACTCGTTTGTTGTATATAGTGAATAGAAAAATATTTCTATAATTGATAGCCCTATTCTGATTCTATTTCTGGGTTGATAGCCCAACGGCGAAGTCGCTGGGTTTCGATAAGAGGAAGGGGAGATAAATAATTTGCCAATCTATTCTCAGCGGTAAAATTGAAACTTAAAAATTTATAACTATCGTTTACAAAATTCAAAAATTTGTAGGTATATTCTGTTGGTGTTTCGGAAACTAGTGGATTACCATTGGAAGGTAAATGTATCCTACTAGTACACTAGAGGAAGTGTGGAAGGAAAGGACGATGATTTGGAAATGAGAGATTTTTGTTGGTTGTTTTGCAATTTAGGTTTTCCACGAGGCAACGGTGTGTACATCCAATTTGGAAAAGTAGTTTTGTGTGGTTTGGCGTAAAACTGAATATCCCTTAGTTGAACCGATGTAGGTGTTGTTTGAACCGATCTGGGTTTACTGCTGAATAGGGTGGTGACCTCACTTTTTAGCTTTGTTGGGTACTTTTATCTGGTGAAGAAGTGTAAGTTTTTCTTTTTGGTTTGTTTGTGATTGATGCCTATGGGGTGATTAATTTGTCTATTAATGGTATCAACTGTAGCTGGTTGACTTTCACTTTGTTGCCTTGTTCTCTTGAATTGTGTTCGAGAAATTTGTCTTGAAAAAACAAGGATGGGAACTACTCTTGAGAAACCTATTGTTGCTTTTCATAGATATTGCAAAAATCTAAGTACTGCGAAAATTATATTTAGAATCTTATGTGTGTTAGAACATCTAATTTGTTGTTTGGCAAAAGAATCTCAAAAAATTAATCATCATAAGTGATTGTTCGAAAATTGATTTTTTGAAGGAATTGAAAAAATATTACCTGACAAAGAAGACTGAAAAAAAAGGTTCAAAAATTGATATAAGTCAGATTTAAATGGAAAGAAAAAGAAAAAGCTTTTCATGGTGTAGTCAAGTGTCAGGTGCGGATTCAGGTTTTTCGCGAGTGGGGCGGATTTTCAAGAAATTTGAAAGTTTTGTCGACCCGTTTTTTTAGATAAATTGATTTTCCAAGCTCTCCCGAAGCACTAAAAAGACCATGTTTCGATCAAATTTTCTGCGCTGCAAGACAAATGTTGAACAAACAGGCCAGAAAAAGCGTTTTTAGGCATTTTTGGAAAATGTTGACAAGAAATTTGCGTTTTTTCAGCGCGCGTCCCGCGCGTCCCCCCTCCTCCTCGAATTAGTATATATTAGGTCCGTCACCTGAAATGGATAACTCAAGATGGCAGGGGGTCGAAACCCTGAATGCATGCATTTGCTTTAAATCATCTAATGAGTTTTTGGGGCAATCAATTGAACTATTTGCTTCTATTGAAAATGCTTTCACTGGCTTCTGATTTTCTTAAACTCAATTTTTTTGTTGTTCGGACTTTTGTAAGGAAAATAAAGGAATATTTGTGCTCGGGGTTTTTTTTCTTCAGACAAATTTCGACTTTTTTGTACTAGCCAGTTTTGTACGAAGTTTTTTCCATTACTCGAAAAAATTGTTGTACTGAGCTTAAAGTCGAAAAAACATTTCACCTGTAATCATTTTTCTAAAGTTATGTGGGTTGAAAGACTGGGACAATTAACGCGCTTTTAACGAGTAAGCGGAGATTTAATCCGTCTTATAAATCGTTCCAAATTGGTTGAAGGAAGCTTATTTGCCATAACTGATTTGTTGCTAGGAGCGAAATATATCACTTTGTACTTTAAAGTGCGTGTTGGAAGAAGATTTTTACACAAAAAAGTCTCAATTAAAAAAAAATTCAATCGATTTTATTACAGTTTATTTTTTTTTAATATTACTGCCCCATAGACCTTAAAAGGTAGTCGAAATATTCAGATCTTTACCCTGTTACGAGCAGTTTTGTTTTTCTCTGTTTGCGTTTTTTTTTTACAAAAACCGAATTGTCCAAATATGTCTAAAACGACATCAGTTTAGATTTTTTTCTGATGAATTTGTAGTTGGCCTTTTCAGTCTAGTGATGTTTTATACTTATAAAACGAAGCTTTGCTAACAAAGTCTTTTTTAGCAATGAAATTCAGATTTGGCAGTGTTGTTTAAGCGCTATAAAACATATTACTTTGAAGTTTTTAATTCGAAATGGGGCATTTGGAAAAAAAACCATTTCAGAAATTTTTGCAATACATTTTTCAAACCCTGAGTTTATAGAGTAAATCAAATATAATGGGGCGATTAAGTTACAAAGACAGGAATTTAATAATCAAATGCTAAGATGAAATTTCAATTAAATTGGAACTGATTTTGTAAAGTTTCTTTTTTTTTTAAGTTCTCTGAGATTTCTCTGTAATGTTTATCTCTGATATTATTTTATCTTTTTTTATTTGGCGCGCAAAATCAGGTTCCACAAATTAACAACGGACTGGAATGCGAAATAAAACATTGAAGCATTATCAGTGGCGGTTCGAGTGATACAAAAGTATTTTAAAAAAAAAACACTCCCAGTATCGAGAAAATCTTCTATAAAAATTTTGTTTATTTTTCCACTTTCGAGCAGGTAAAGCAATCGAAACAAGATTTTTCATAAAAAAGTTACCAAAATAAACAACAATTTTTTTGATTTCACTAAATTGAAAAGGAAACTTGTTTTTTTCGGAAATATTTCAATCTTTTAATGCAAAAAATTTAAAAAAACTGGCAAAAAAACGTCAACTTTATTTTTTGTTCAATTTTGGACGACAATTGTAGTCGCTTATGTCTAATTCGCTAAATCTATTATCACACGACGTCTCAGAAAAAATACAAACTTGCAGAAAAAAGTTTCTGAGAATGTTGTCGGAGCATTTTGTCCTATATGCATAGCAACCGGCTTTATTGTATGTTTGCCGTAATTTGTTTTTAATTTGGTTTTTTCATCAGTTGTTTTATCAGAATGTGGTAGTTTTTGAGTGGTAAGAGATCAGTTTCCATTCTATTTGATTCTTTTCAATCATTTTTCTATGTTTCCAGACAATGGGCCTCAGATGATAACGGTATTTTTGTTGAATGCTTAAATGGTTGACAAATACTGTATCAATTTGAATTGCGTGTCTTACAATATATTTTTTGTTTCCAATGATTTTTGATCTGTTTGTTCAATTTTGTAATAGCGTGAGTTTTTTTGTTTCGTCTCTGTTTCTCAATTGCTACGGTGGTTTCTGAAAGATTTGATTTTTTTGTTTTTGAAGTCTGTTAATGTAATTGCTCTTAAGTCTGATATGAGCGAATCATCAAAAATTTCGAAAGCACGTTTTCAAAAAGATTCTGGGTAAAAAATGTTTGCAAAAAAAGTGAGATAAGACACAGCGTATTTGAACAGAAAATTCAATTTATTTAACCGAGAAAGGTTGAGTTTTTATAAAATTTCTATAGTGGCCTACCAATAAGCAATATGGTCTAGGGGCAGAATGGGTCTAAGAGCAGAAAAACAGAATATTATCAATTTTTTATAAGCTAATGGGTAAATCAAGTATAAGAATTTCGGGTTGCGTTCACATTGAAAATTAGTGATAAAAATTGACAAAAAAGCAATCGCCATTGATGAGTTATCAATAATCATTGCTACAAAAGCAATTTTTACCGATAGATTAGCGCTGATTTGGCTCATGTTCAGCGATGAAACAGCGATAAGAAATCTATCAAAGTAACCAAAATTAGTGAACTACCGGTGTTTGATCCCTCAAAAATCAGGTTAGTAGATACGTATGCTACCTCTGCGCCACGAAGCCTTAGATAAACAAAAATTGTAGATTTTTTAATTCCTATCTGAAAGCTACTAAATTAAGTTAAAATTTCATAAGTTTTAGCGCTGATTTTTCACGGAGTCATTACTGAAAAAACCCTAAAATAACGCATGTGTAGCTATGCAAAAAAATCTCAGTTATATATGAATCAGTGCTGCAAAATAGCAATTACTGGTATACTACAGAAAAAGCGATAATTAACGGTGGGACTTCAACCCGAGGTTGTCAAAGTTACCAAAGACGCGAATCTTTCATGCATAAACTGAGTGATTTGATCGAAATTTTCTTAAAAATTAAAAATCAATTTTGAAGTTATTCAATTCGTGTACAATTTTTTAAAAACTTAACTTGATGCTTTTAATATTTTTTAGTATCAATTAGCCCGTATAAATATAAAAAAATTAAAATTTTTCGAGTTTTTGCTCCTGCACCCATGCTGTTCCTAGAATATTCTGCTTATTGATGTGCCTCCAGTTTCTATCGAACTTAGAAGCTTTCGATGGTTACAAGAACTCAAGTAGTTTCATGGTATTTATAGAGTACAATTTTGATTTATGGGCAGTTAAATGCCATAAGACATCCTTATAGAACAAAACTAACCGAAGAAAACTGTTTGATAGTAAACAACCGACATTTATTCTAGCTCAGAATTGGACCTATAATTGTTTAGAAAAAGATCAGGCATAATTTGTGTTATAGTTTCGCTGCAATACACCATTTAACGAAACGGTGATGAAACTATTAACTATTTTATTTTTCACTTTAATGAGTTCATCATCATGGAAGATGGTCACAGCAAAAAGTACCAGTTCGGTAGAAAATACAGAGAATCAAGGTAATCAACCAGTGGCAGATTTTTTGAAAAATTTTTACATTTTTGTCGACCTTTTTTAGGTAAGATTTTCTGATAAGACAGTCGAAAGTTGATGTTATGAGCACTTTTCGTAAAATTTTGACAAAAAAAAATCGTTCGAGCACCTTCCTTGGAGTTTTAGTATATTTTAGCACCAAAGTAGCTTTTTTTGTCGAAGTCAGTCAGAAGAAGTAAAGTGCCTTAAAATTAGACCAAAGGATCAATTGGAAAATTTGTGACCCTTTGGGTTACAAATAGCGAACCCTTTGAGAAAACTTGGAGACCTGAATTTTGGGGGGCGAATGCTCGAAAGCAAGCTATTGCAATCAATTCAGAGATATTTTGTAGAAAAAGACCAATTTTCGTTTAATAGGCTTCCCAAGGGGACTTAAGTTACTAATTTTTCGCGCTTCCAGGTATAAGTCTGTGAGCAGAAATGACCGAGTTGAAAGTTATTTTTGGAAGTCGAAGGCGCTAAATTATTGTCTTAAGGAGGTCCCTAATAGCCAGAAACGAATTTATGGGCAATCAGGGGCGGATCTAGGATTTTCTCGATGGGGTGCTGATTATCAAAAAAATTTTCGAAAATTTTGTTGACCTTTTTTTTCAAATTTTGTTGGCAAATTTCTAAAAAAAAAACGGGTAAAAAAGCGGTTTTTGGGCACTTTTGAAAATTTTTCAGCGCGCGCTTCCCTCAACATTAGTGTAAACTGGCGCCAAAGGCGCTCTTAGAAAAAGGTCGGTTGGCATAAAATGAATGTCATAAAATATTACCAAAGGGGGAACCCTGTGGTTGGCGAGGGGTCGAATTCCTGAGGGAAGCGCCCCCCCCCTAAATCTGCTCCAGTGAGCAATAGTATTTAGTAATATTACTTTTTTCCTTCGCAGTCTCAATTTTAGAGCCACAACAGAGTGAGAACTCAAACGGAAATCTGACTGAGCTGGTCGATCGAGTCCACTATGAGCTGAGCCAAGTGCAGCTGGCATACGGAACCGACCAAGTGACAGACACCACAAACATGGTCATGGTAAGCTACAGCTGGAACGAGAAAGAACCTGCGAGGCAGATTTACGCCGCTTTGAAAGCCAGCGGGATAAATGCCTGGATCGACTATTACAACATGACCTATGCGAATAACCTGCCTCAAACAATGGGTGAAACAGTCGAAGACTCGACAGTAATTGTGGTATGTTATTCAGAAGCATATCAAAACAGCTCAAACTGCAGACAGGAAGCTCTCTACTCATTTCAACTGAAGAAAAAACAGGTTTTCGCTAAGGTGCAGGAAGATTTCACGCCGACGGGTTGGCTAGGGTTCATCCTAGCTGGTCATCAGTACTATAACTTTTACAACGAGTCTGTGTTCGATGAGAACTTCGAGAAACTGCTCGGAAATGTCGAGGAAGGGTTGAATGGTTCAGAGGGCAAGATGAGAGTTAGTTTGGCAATGATTATCGTCAGTATTGCGTTTAAATTCATTTTGTGAAGCTTTTTTGAAATCTATTCCATACCAACTTATTACTGAAGGAACCATTTTTTGAAGACCAGATTTCTTACTAGAATATACTTTTTCAACTTAATTGCAACAGCTTTTCTACAAGCTTTAACAATTGGCCAAACTGCAAACTATAACTCAGGCTCGTTCTTTTTTTCATTCCGCAAAATTTTTTGATTGACTGGAAGACTTGTTGTAACAGCCAAAGTGCGTCAAGCTAGGAGCCGTTTTTTAATGAAGCAATACAAAGACAAATATGAACTGCAAAGGTCGTATGTTTATCGAAGAAACGCGATTTGAGGTGATTTTTAGAAATCTCGGGTTGAGGTGTTCGAAATATGTTTCGACCGACTCGACCTAAAATAGCTATGTTTCGACCGACTCGACCCAATATGACTATATTCAGGCCGACTTGACCAAAGCAAATTAAGCTCGACTGTGTTAGACCCAAAAGTGCTATGTTTCGACCAACTCGACCCAACCCAAACTGGCTTTATTTCAACCGAATCGACTGAGAGAAAATATGTTCGACTGTGTTCGACCCAAGCGTGTTATTTTTCGACCGACTCGACCCAAATGAATTTCGGATTCTGTTTAATTTCTGTATAATTTCAGCTGGTAAAATCACTTTTTGTTTTGACATGTTCAAATTTGTTTTTTGAGTAATCAAGTTTTCCAATTTGGTGTCAAAAATCTGAAACTCTATTTTTTTGCACATCAAAACGTTATAAATAGTTACTTTTTCGGTCAAAACATCGGTTCTCGAACTTTTAACTGAGATCATGAGTAGTCCATTGTTTCGAGAGTTGGACTATGTTTCGAGACTGTGTTTGACCATGTTTCGATCATGTTTTTGACTAAGTTTGAAAATTGTGTTCGACTGAAATGGCTGTTTTTGACCCCGAATTTTAGGTCAAAGAACATTTGTGTTTTTCGAACACGGTCGAAAAATAAGTCGGACACTTCATTCCGACAAACGAAAAGCGACCCGTGTCAGTGTCAAACTAACATTCCATCCATGAACATTGAAAATCAATGGTTATTTCATATATGATGCAGATCAGATACATGTCTACTTTTTGAATGCGCATTTGAAATACACATGTGCTGCATATATGGCATACTGGTCATGTGCATGTCTTAGCAGGTGTAAAAATCTCAGATCTGGACCAGACATGTGCAGGCATGTAACATTTCCGGCCAGACGTGATTCAGAGATGGACCAGAAGTGTTCAGATATGTCTTCAAATATATATGTGAATGCATGGCCAGGCATGCCGAAACTTTTTTTTTCTCACGCTAAAATTGCAAAACAAAGAGAAATCCGGAAAATTACTTTGAAATCAGGAAGGCAAAAAGTGAAAATTGTATCTAAACATAGCGAATTACAAATGAAAAACAAATAAACGTTTTTTATGAATCCATGTCTATTGCAGTCACCAGATGTTTTTGACCATAATGTAGTTTCAGTGGGTAGCCTAAATTGTTTCATTGAGATTTTCAATCGATGATTCTCTGGATATGTCCAATTCGTAATTTTTGTTGAAATATGAAGCACTAAAACAAAAAATTTTAAGATTCTTAAAACGTCTGTTGCAAAAACAATAAATTAAACATTGTAAACAATTTTTTTGAGCGAAACCAAAAAAGGCTAAAAATTGAAAGAAAAAATGCGAATAACATCATTTTTGAAACATTTGTCCAAAATGATCTAATTTTTTGAGTGTTTTGTTTTCAAAAATTTCTAGTACAAAAATAGTCTGTGATTAAAACTGCGATTAGATAAAATTATTTTTTGTCTCCTTTAGAGATTATTTGAAGAGGCTTGGAAACGACAAATTGGCTATTCAAAATGTCCAAACTTGACAAAAAATGAAACCAAACTTTTAGTGAACCCAATTGATCTAAATTTCAAAAAACAAAGCTGAATTAAACGAAAACTTCGAACTTTTATCCTATTTTTCAAATTTAGAAGAAACAACGCAAATGAAGAAAGAAAGTGCGTCATAAAATCAAAATCTAGAATTTAGAAAAATTGAATCTAAAAAAAGCTTTTGACTCACACTTCTGTTGCTCAAATAAAATTGTCTGTTTGGTGACGCGAGATGGCATCTTACATCGCAGGAAAGTATCACATTGTCACCCACAATGAAGATTGCTCAGTAATTCGCCATTTACTTGTACATTAAATTAATCATATCTTTTTAAATTTTAATTCAGAGATTTTGTCTTTAACTTTTCGCAACATAAAATTTGAATCAGGCTGATTATCTTCTCAAATTATTAATTTGAGCCCAAAAAGTATAAACTTTTTTGCTGCTAGCAATTTTTTTTTTCACAGCAACAAAACCTCTGGAACTTTCTTGATACAGATCCAATACTAAGCCTTCAAGAGAAAAATTTGATTATTTTTCTAAACTATCTTTTAAAATTATTTTTCTTCTAAAAGATCTGGAGAAATTATTGCTCTAGCCTGCGTCTATTGCTCAGTTTTTTGGTCAATTAAAGTTTGAATGAGAACAATTTATGAACTACTGAATCAATTTTTTTTCATCCATTTTAATTGATTTTTTTTTTCAATTATGTGGACACTGACAATGAAACTAAATTATAATCATTTTTTCCCACTTGACTGAGATAAAAAGTTTCAACACACATAAGGTCTTTTCTACGTTTTAAGCTTAAGTTGGTTACGTTGGTTACTTGTTGTTCAATTTATTTTTCTTCTGCCTATTTTAGATATTTTTGTTACTTTTTTATGTTACTCGATTACCCCCCTATCGTTTGCCCATTTGAAACAAATACCCACGGAGGGGGGGGGGGGGGGGGGGGGGGGTTCAGTTCAGGTGGGGGAGGGTTGGTGGGTTCATGTAGGAGGGGGTTGAGTGAGGGGAGGGGAGCAAAGGGACAAACTTTAGGAGGATTGAAGGGGAGCAAAAGGGCAAAAGTTGGGGGGGGGGGGGGGAGAACTTAACGGAATGTTTTTGCAAATTGAGTTTAGGCTCAGAAATGGGTTAGGCCGTACAACTGATATGCAAAGTTTCCGCATAACTCACTTGATAAATGCAGAAATTCTTGCAAATATTAGCACGACGCGCGAAACAAAAAAGAAGTGGAAAAAAACCCATTTCAATGTGATTTCCTACTTGTTATAAAATCCATTATAATGGATTCCAAAAGAATTATAATGCATTTTGTTTTGCCGAGAAAAAAAGGATTTTAATCCATTTTTAGTCTAATTTTGTTGTTTGAACGTAACATGGGAATCGATTATGTTTAAACTTTTTAGACCACGAAAATCCATTATAATCGATTTGTTTTCACTTTTCTTGAAAGGAGGACCCTTTTTTGCGGAGATCTTTAGAACTGAGATGTTCTTACCCTTGAGTTGTTGTTTTGGCTTCTTTGGTCTTGGCCCTTTTCTTGAAGTATTTTCGATAATTTAGCAGGCATTTCTGAAACAATATAATTTCAAACAATCTGAAAAATTTTGTAAAATTAGGTGAAACTTGAAAAAAAAATCAACCATTTTCAATTTTTCTGGAGTTGCAAAAAACTCATTTTGGAGGGAAAAACAGAACCACTGACAGAACCCACTCCCGACTCCATTTCATCTGCCATCATTTTTGTTCCTTAAATTAAAAATTTTACCCCCTAACATTTTTTATCCCACCCGCCCTAACAATTTTTACGCCCCCCCCCACACACACACTAGCAACTTTTAATCCCCCCATTCTAACCGTTTTTACCACCCCCCTCCCCCTCCCCCCCCTCCCCCCACTCTAATAATTTTTTTAGCTTTTACACCATAAGTCAACCCCCATGTCATCCCCCCCGCGCGCCCCACAACTAAGTATGAATAAATATAAAACAGGTTTGGAAAGCGGCACGAAGTAAAATAAGCGAAGTTGCGAAAAAACGCAACAAAAACCTACAATAAAGAGCTATGCATTGCAAGAAACTAGTTTGCAAAATGAAAGTCAGGGCCAGCAAAAATAAACTAGATTAGATGTGGACCGCAAATTCAGTTTTGAAATTGAAGCTCAAGATGAGTTGCAAACGAAGAACAATTGCGTTTGTGTTTGATGCGTCAATTTCGCGGCATTATGTTTGCTAATTGGAAATAAACTAATCGGTTCAGTCTTTGCTCGTTTGTTCAATTTCAGTCACAACTGCTGGTTCAAGTCTGAACAATGTCTGTACACAGCTGATTATCAGCGACGAAAGGTTTTTGACTGGTCATGTGTGCAACTGCGTTTGCACTTAGGTACGGTAAACAAGAGAAGACCGTTTCTAGCAGAAAAAATCCCTAAAAAAATTTCGACTGCCGTTTATTGTATATCGATTAGCCTTTGGTGAAAATTCAAAAAAAAAGACAAAAATACGTTTGTCTTTTTGCTTTTTTTGAAAATTTTCTCACACGCGAAATGCCGAGGAGAAAGAGATACTTTTGCTTCAATTTATCTATCAAAAGAACAATTAACTAATCTAAATTCACTTTGTGTTTCTCAAGGTTATTGAGTCCCCGCTTAAACATTATTGAAACGAATTATATCGCGCACTAAGTATAGCAAGATGCACAATTTAGAATTTACGAAACCTGAGAACCTGACAAAAAGGTCTTGCGATGATTTACTTTTAAAATTTTGAGCCCATGACGACAGCATTTTTTAGAATTTGAAAATTTCCATCAGAAATTGCATGTTAATTTGTCGAATTTTGCCTCAGAAGATAAAAAACACACAAAGCATAAAATTTCTTGCGTTTTCTTTAAAAATTGGAAGGCACATATTGGAAGGTAAAATTGAGTTAGGACCGAAGTGTAACTCATAGAGTAATTTCGGATAGGGTACACCGTCTGCTCGTCACGCTATCTTATTTTCGGCCGGATAGATTCGTGCAACTTCTTAGTCTAATACCGATCCTAATCTTACTCTTATACTATCTAGTCTCAGGTTGTTTAACTAGTCTCTGCTAGGCTCAATAGATCTAGGGTATACTGGTTTATTGCGGCTGCTGAAGTGCTCGGGAGAGTCCAACTAATTTCTAAGTTAAA